TATACATATACAATGTACATACATGTGTATTTGTGTAGCATTAAACAATCATACAATATCACATCTCATTAAATTCACGACTCTTTGTTTTTGCCCTTAAAAATTAATTTTAACAATTGCTGACATTTACATTTTCCTCATAAAATAATTTGCAATATTACAATGCTCTCTCTCTCTTCTTCTTCTTCGCTTGCAGTCGCTGTTGTGATAAAAAAAGTTGTGGCAACCGCAATGAGACACCATCAGATCCTGTCATTATTGATCGGTAAGTAGCAATATTATAAAAAACGTATTTATTACAACACAACAATAACAAACAAGCAAGCGAAACAACAACGAAAACATTGTTGCGTTGACATTATTGATGTTTCTGGCGTTAAAAATACACAACCAACTGTAGCTGGTATTGTTGCTTTTGTATTTTCGTGATAATGCCGCGAGCAATTTGCATACGCGCAATGCGAAAAGACAACAACAACAACACTAATGTGTCACATGATGTACTTAAGAGGAAACAAGTGCCTACAGMAATGAAGGTTGCCACCAGCTGGCAACGAGTTGTTGTAGTGGCAGCTATGTGTGTGTATGTGTGTGAGGTGCAACAGTAGCCCGCTGCCGTCATGTCTTCACAAAAAATTACYCGTAAGCAGCTTTTCATCCTTTCACAACTGAAGAACGTTTTAAAATATACTTGCGTATATTACATACTTGTTGTTGTTGTGTGTATGTCCTTGCACGGTTTATGCACTTTCTTGTGTTCGTTTGCGTGCCGGAAAGGCACAGGTCCTTGTTGTAGCCGGCTGCTTGCCACTGGCATTGCAACTTATATGCATTTTGTGTGTTTGTATGTTAGATGTGCATACATACATATGTACATATATGTATTTGTCACATGTCCTTGTTTATTTGTGTGTCTCCTTTTCGTAGATGTCAAAAATTCATATCATTGATTTATTGACATTATTCTTATCGAGTGCGTCGCATAACGAAGACGGTCTCATATTTTACAGCATGTTGTCTTCTGCAACGGCATACCCATGCGCTTATAGGCGTATATACATACATACATATACACATACTACATAGGCATGGCTATAAATAAATACAGGAGCAGTGCCATGTCGTGGCTTAAAGGCTCAAATTTAGTAGTAAACAATGTTTCCAAGGAAAAAAATATTAAATTTTTGGTGAAAAATTAATAATTTGAACATTTTTGAAACAAATTTTAATTTTTTTTTAAWTTGAAATTTGACACTGTTTAAAAATTTTAGTTAATTTTTGCAAGATTTTGCTCATTTTATAAAAAAGTATTTTAAAAATGTTTTGAAAATTTGGATATGTGGCAACACTACTTAAAAATTTAAATCAATCTTTTTTGATAAATATATTTTTATTCTTACAAATAATATTTTAAACATGTCTTGAAAATTTGACATGTGGCAACCCTATTAACAATTTTGATTAATATACACATTTTTTTTAACAATATTGTTCTTTGCGTAAAAAATAACAAAAAAATCTTAAAAATATATATGTTTTTTCTGTCTCTTATACACATCTAGATGTGTATAAGAGACAGAATATTATTTAATTTTTTTTAATTTGATATCTGGCAACACTGTTTAAAAGCTGCAATTTTTATGTTACAGTTACATCACATTCTACTAAAATATTCTATATTAAATATATTCTAAACAATTCCATCCCTGAGAAATCAAAACAAAACATTTGAAAATTTCAGAAACGGAATTTAATTTATCAAAAAAATCTGGCAACCGTATTTTAAACTATATCATCATACCATCATTACTTCAAAATGATACAATTCAAATTATACAGTTAAAAATTATTTTTAATTAATAAATGGTAACTTTGTTTTGGATTTTTATTGTATATGCAAAGTACTTGGCACCCCTTTTATATAAAAGTGCTGATAAAAATAATGCAATTTAAAGTACACTATAAAATTCCAAATAGAAATATTGAAGAGGTCGAAAACGCTGTTTTGATTAAAAACAAAAAAATAATAGTTGGCAACTCTTTTCCTAAAAGCCTATACAGTTGAGGCTCCAAATTATTAATACATTAATTAAAAATTTATATGACTGCTAAATATTAAATTACAAAAGTTTGCTTCCTGTGCATAAAAATTATAGGTGGCAACCCTTTTTTATAACCATCTACGTATCAATATAGGTTAATATGTATGCACTTAATGACAAAATTAAATATTAATATCGCGAATTTTTATTTTATCAAAAAGTTATTTAACGAAAAACAAGTTGGCAACCCTGCCCAAAAAATAAATACTCATACAAAATTTTGTATCATACAATATTTAAAAAAAAATTTAAAAAGTAAATTGTGTACTGTAGTCACTAGAGTAGATTTGTCTAACTCTCATCATGTTGCAACCCTACCATACTCCTCCTCTCCGCCGCTGAAGTACACGAGATTATGCATAAAACCGGAAATTTCGTATGCACTCTTAGCAACTTGTAAATTGATACCGTTACGCATATAATTTTTGTACGGTTTGTTACAATTTGTCGTAGTCACAYGCCCCTGCGCTTTACAGTTACCAACACGCGCTGCAGAAATATCCTTTTCGCCTTCCTTTTCTCTCTGCACGCTGTTGTTCGTCCCTCCCCTGCCGCAGTCACGTGTCAAACAAATTATGATAATTGCATGCAGTGGATGCTGCTCACTGCTACAGTAGCGGGTCGCACGCAATTTGCGGCAACGAATGCAACGCCGACGGAAAATTGAAACACGACGAAGGTAGCAAACACACAAAAAACGAAGACAAATGAGTGGAGACTAACCGAAAGTAACACGGAATTCGAAAATATTCCGCTTAATTGGCTTAGCAATAAAAATTGACATAACGCGCTGCACACTTACACATTAACGGTGGGCGGAGGTGGAGTAGGCAGAGCGTGCGGCCTAATTGCCCGTTGACGGGTCGGAAGACAGCAGCCCAAATGGCCGGAATCACTAAAACTAATTATCCATACGTACTGATAACTCTCTCGAACTAAGCCTAGGATTTGCGCGTACCAAGTGTTAGCTGCTTACAGTTAATAACGGTATTTTGATGCTCGTGCCGATAGTATTTGATGGAGATTAGTTATGAGCGATTGTGACATGTGTAACCCTTTACTGCGTAGTTTGATCTACCTACATATTTTGAGATTGTTTTGTAGATTGCGTGCTTACCTATTTGCTCTGTTGAAACTGACGGCATGCGTTACCCTTATTTGCATTTGATTCTCACGATTTTTTCGTTGTTTTTTGTGAATTTTAAARTCGATCACATTTTGTTGGAATTTTTTCCAAAACCATCGGTTTTACTCGTATTACGCAGATTCTGTGCCCTAACTATCTAAGCTAATAGAGAAGTGGTAGAATACCATGCTTGAGAGATGAGAGATAGTCAAATACTCTCCAATTCCAAGATTGAAATGCTATTTTCTGTTGCTGGTGACCGTTGCTAAGGTTTTATTTTCTTTTCAGTAGGAGAATGTTTAAATCTGAAGAAGACATATCTMAAGCTACTCTAGTTGCGTAAGGAGATTAAAATATAGGAAAGAGATAGTTCACTTTTCATTATTTCACAAGAATGTTTAAGGCAGAGACCACAAATGCTTTCAGGTTACGCAGGTTTGGGTTAATCGGACTATAAGTCGATCTATAGCTAAATTTTCTTGTCAGAAATAGCACATCGAATGCCGAAACCTTTCGAGAAAAAAGTATAGAAATAGACTGCCAAATTTTCTTGTCCCAGTTATCATACAGGATGTTAAAACTCATCAACAGAAGAGACAAGGTTCCGATACCTTGAAAACTCACTTTTCGCCTCATAAATTGCATTAAAGATGCCGAAATTTTTCGAGAAAAGAGAATAGATCTAACAGATCAGATGCCATACAGGATGTCAAAACTTACCAAGAGATGAAACTGGGTTCTCAAAACATACCAGGAGATCAAACTGCTTTTCAATAACTAAGTTTTCTTGTCATAAATTGGATAAAGGATGATTTAAACTTTTCGAGAAAAGAGAATAGATCCATGAGATAAGATGTCATAGAGGATGTTAAAGCTTGCCAAGAGATTGGGTTCAGCTGCCTCTGTGGTCAAGACTGGGTTCCGCTGCCTTCATGGACAAGTTTTCTTGTCACGAATAGCATATTGGATTCCAAAATCAAAAGAAAATAATATAGATCTAAATGACGAGTGTCTCTGATTCTAGTATAGCAGATAAAAACCTTTCGAGAGAATAAAGAAAACTGGTCTCCCATACTTCCATCAGTCTAAGAACTATATTTCTATATAAAATGGACAKGAACACTGAACTTATAATAATAGCGCTACTCTCACAGTTGGATATGAAGGAAAAACCAACAGCGCTCTCCAATACTTAATGCAATGAGTAATTGATTGTTTTTCTCCTGCAATGCCGCTCAATTTTTTCCATATCATTTCGAGGGCTTCTATGTCCGAGCTGCGCAATTATCAGCTTGATTTATTAATGCTTGGAATGCAAGGACATGTGGTCGTCGGCATTGAGTACTAAATTTTTTCCAAGCCGCGTGTCCTCCAAATGTTCTATCTCTCATACTAAACCACAGTGCGCGCTCGAATATTTAACTTTATTGGTAGCGTTGACCGCAAGGGTGGACAGCTTGTTTTTGTTAACGCTATAAAGCATTTGCATGCTTGTTGTTGTTGTTTTAGTGTTTTTTTGCAACACCACTTTATTCGCTGACAATTTCCAAGTGCATTTAGAAAATTAAAATACAAACAAACAACTGCAGCGCGAAAAAAATGTATATGCATATGTAAATATGTGAAGCTRTATATATAATTATATATACATATGTTATATATACATATGTATATATAAAGTGCTTCCGTACTCAATTTAATATAAATAAACCATCGTGAATGCACTCAGCCGCTGAGTTCGTTGGGTGGCGAGGCACACTCCTGTAAAAGCTAATGACTCGGCAACATTAAAATGAGTGCAGAGTGCAGCTGAATTATTGTTGTTGCACTTGTTGTTTTATTATGTGGTGTGTCACAGTAAATTAGCTGAAAAATATACATKTAATATGGTCTCGCGGGAACTTCCGGCATTGGCTCGGGTTTTGATGCGAAATTTCGAATTTAAAGAAGATAATACTTCAACGAATTACTGCGGAGCGAGAGAAAATAACAATAATAATGGTTAATRTAACTGTTATCTAGTCCCCGTTAGRATGA